TCCTTAGGCCAAGAAAAATATTATAATGCTTGGTTAGTTTTGCTGTTTTGAATTCCATTACACTTTCCAAGAGAGGTCCATGGCTGGACCCTACGTGCTGACTCAGCACATGCTTTAGGGTCCCAGAAAAATTAAAACGCCAACAACTTTGAGAAAAACTGCACTGACATTGGCTGTCCATTAGTTTAGAATCACAAAGTCCAGAGAGGATCTCTTTTACTATCCTGATGAAATTAAAATTTGCATTTCTCTGTTGAAAGTACTTTGTATTTTGAATTAGATAGTAGGGATGATGGTGGTGATGGCAGCAGCAGCAGTAGCAATGCTGGCGTGTGTGGTGGTAATGTGTGTACTTGTGGAGGAGGTGATAGGGATTCTGGTGATGATAGTGATGGTACTGTTGGTGATGTGTGATAGTGGTGGCGATGATGGTAGCCACAGTAATGATGACAGTAGGTTTTGAAGGACGCACACACGGTCACCAATACTGAGCACCAACTTGGCATCTGAAAAGTTGGCTACATTTCGCATTGCTGAAGCCTGGGCTAGAGAGCAAGGTGAAAATAGAGTTGTCAGAGAACTCTCACTTATTCATCTTTGCCCCCTCAAGAAGCATATACTTAATGTAAATATAGTAGGTACTTTCCTATTATTGTTGTGGATGGAGGGAGGTGAAAGAAATGGAGGATGTATTTTGGGTGATTAGAACTTTTGTGTATGGGCCAGCTTCCTGGCAGGGTTGGCTGTATATGGTTTGAAGAGTATCTTTAAAGACTGTGGAAAGTGACTACTGTTCTAGTTCTCCTCTTTTCAACACTATCCTTTTCCAGTGAGAAGCTTGTTTCCTTTCCTTATTCTACCATGACCTTTTTATGAGTCTACTCTTTTCGTTCTTATTGTCTCTGTCACTGACACTTTCTGACAGTGTGAGTTGGGGTTGTTCTCCTGTCTCCCCTCTTCTTATGCCTTGCTTTCATTTTCTCCTCAGTGTTGAGCATCTGGTGCATAATAGACCATCACTAGTTTCTCTCTGCTCTCTTCTGTTCTTTCGGAAGAATACACATTCCATGAGGGCAGACTTTGCTTTGTTTACTGCTTTTTTTTTCAACACCTGCACATAGTCAGTGCTTAATAAATATTTGTTACATGAGCTGACAAAATTATTTAACTATCCTCTTAATGAATAGGTCAGATGAATATAATAATGCTAGTCTTAGATGGTTACTTTGGGAATTAAATAAAATGACGTGAGTATACTTCCTGGTATACTCAGCCTGGTGTAATATGAGCTGGTGAATTGTTTGATTCCTTTTAATGTTTGTCTTTCTTATAATTTATTTCTTTTTGTTATTTAGAGTGATAATTCTGTTTATCTTCTTGCCTCCTTAGTGATGTATTTTCTAAAAGTCTTATCTTTCTTTTGTTTCCTAAAAGAGTTTGTTCCAAGGACATGCTCAGTGGACCTGATTGCTTCTATCTTTCATCTTATTAACAAAAATCATATTATTATTATTATTATTAACATATACAATTATCCTAACTGTATACAAATTATACTACAGTGTTTTTATAATTATGAAATCCATGTATTATGTTTATTCTAGATAACTGTAAAGCAATTCATTATTCATGAATTGTTCATTTTATGAATTATTCTATAAGGTAGCTGTTAATTATCTTCAGTTGGCAGATGAGGAAATTAAGCCTTGGAAAGGTCGATATATTGTTCAAAAATACACACCTAGTAAATTATAGACCAAAAGACATTCTTGCATCTGGTTTCTGATTCCTTTACTGAATTGTTCTTCATTTTATGAATTATTCTATAAGGTAGCTGTTAATTATCTTCAGTTGACAGATGAGGAAATTAAGCCTTGGAAAGGTCGATATATTGTTAAAAAATACACACCTAGTAAATTATAGACCAAAAGACATTCTTGCATCTGGTTTCTGATTCCTTTTTTCTTTTTCTTTTTTCTTGTGTTACCGGGGATCAAACTCAGGTCCTTGCAATTGCGAGGCAGGCCACCAAACCGCTGAGCTAAATCCCCAGCTGGCTTCTGATTCCTTATCCACCCATCCAAAATGATATCTTTACCATGTCAAGAACCATAGTAAGGAAATACTGGTGTAGCTCCTGTCTCCGTGACCCTACCTGTAATCACTGTAATTATTGTCACTGGTGCTCTGTGGATACACTAGCGTGATCTCTCATTCTCAAGCGAACCTTAATCAGCTGATTTTACTTCTGTATTTTAGCCTTGCCTCAAATTTGAATATCTTCACCCATGAATCACCTGTCTTTATTGCCTTTCTGTATGTCCCTAAATCACACATTTTTCTGCCTCTGTTAGAAAAACCACCTGCCATTTTCCTTGTCACACAGTCTCAAAATTTTGGAACAGTTTCTTTCATTCCATAGTTTGAATTCACACCCAAGATCTCTTGGTTGCTTTTGCTTTTGGAAATACCTCTTATGTGTCTCTATCTCTCCAGTGCCTAACATTCTAATATCAACTGATGTGTGCCCTGATCTTCAATTTCCTGAGATAGTCTCAAGGCTGTGTGTTAATTAGTTTTCATATTTCATTAGATTTTTTTTTAATTTTATTGAGTTTATTGGTACATTTTAGGGATACAGTACAGTTACATTCATTGTTGGGATCATGTACCTCTACATGACAAGTCTTGATTCTCATTTTTTCCCCTTACCTCTGCCCTCCCTTCACCCCCTCCTCCCCTCCCCATCTACAAACACTTTATTTTCATCTTTCATTCTCTCACATTTTTTTCTTTTCCCTTTTTGTTCTTCCCCTACCCATCACACCTTCCCTACATGTCAGTAATCTTATTAGAATCTTATGCATTATTGTAGATTATTCACACCAGGTTCATTAGATTTTAAGCTTCCTTAAAAGCACAGACTCTGCTTGTTTGTTGTTATTTCTCCAACATGATAGCTGGTATTTGGTAGACATTCAGATGACTAGTAAATTAAAGCACCTCTGATGTTTTAGACTACGTTTCTCAGACTTCTTCTGGAGGCTCAACTCTAGAAAATTATATAACTCTATTACATATAGAATCTTCCATAATATATACTGTCTTTTTCACAAAGGACACATCTGCTTCCTTCCAACAGTGTTGCTAGTGGCTTACATGCTTTACCATCTGCTGCCACTGATTCACAGGGAAGTGAGAACAAATCCCTAGAGAAATTATGTTTGAAAATTATGAACTGGTAAATATTCATCCCCATTAAATCAGCCTCTTTTATTTATCTGGTGCTACCATAACTCTATAGAAAAATAGTTTGAGAACTACTACAGGTTATGTAGAAATTATGAACCACTCATAATTTCAGGTGTTAACAAGTGTGACGTGTTAATCTCTGTCACCAAGAATCCTGTTGCCTATTTTGTAGGAAAGAGAGACTTTGAGCTTCTGAAGCTTTGACATCACTATGTTGGTGGCTCAGGAGACTGATAGCTGGATGGTAGGCGAGCCAGCAGTCTTCTTTCTCATTGGCCTTTCTCAATTGAACTGTCTGTGCCTGAGTTTATTATTGGGAGCCTGAGTCTTGTCTCTTATCCAAGAGGGAAATGCTGGTGTGCAGGTCGTGGAAGGTGTCAGTCTGACCTGCGCAATATTTTGGCTTTAACGTCTACTTAGTTTTCCTCAATCAAAGTATTGTTTACACAGTTAGCAACACTTGTGGCCTGAAAGAAATTTTTAATATTTTGAAAAAGTGAGGCTTATGACATTTCTAAGTGCACATTTCTTTTCTTTTCTTTTTTTTTGGTACCAGGGACCAAACTCGGGTCTTTGCACTTGCAAGGCAGGCGGTGGAACCACTGAGCTAAATCACCAGCCCCTAAGTGCATATTTCTAAGAGCACTGTGACATTTGGGAATCATTAATCCTGTTGACCAGTCAGACAATATGTATATACTTTCATCAAGATTCAAATTGACATAGAATAATAACTAGATAATTATATCCCAAAATCATCTTTTTATAAATTTTTATAACTAAATCTCTTCTTCATTAAGGTAGCTGGCCTTTTTATAAAGATAATAATGGTGGTTTAATATGTTTATTATATAACAGCATGCAGACTGCTGTAGAAAACTGGAATGTTATGTAACATATGACATTGGGTCATAGAATTTGACATCTCATAACTTGGACCTACTTGTCTACCAGTAGTGGTTTTTTAACTAAAGAAAATTAACTCAAAGTGATATGCTTTAAATCCTTTTTCTTCTATTGGGAGGGTGCTATACAGTGGTAAAACCCAGCTTCACTATGTAACAGCAACAACTAGGACACTTATTGTGATAATTATGAGATAGGATGTCATTTCCATAGCTGACTTCAGCGGATAATCTTTCTGTAACTGTGTTGGATTACATCCATTTACTCAAAAAATTATTGAATTTGTACAAGGTACCAAGGATTTTTGATGTTCAGAAAACAGACATAATTAGTGCATTCTTTTACATTTTAGTGTAGAAGTGCCAATAAACACATGCAATTTTAGATAATAAGATGTGCTAAGAAAAAAATTCATAGGACAATATGCTGGGGAGGGAGGGTTACTTCTGGTGACTGCAGTCAAGAAGACCTACATGTGAGCTGTGTAGATGTTTATGTGATGACAAGAGTCATCGTGTGCAAATCTGGGAGAGAAGATTCTAGGCCCAGGACAGCAAGTACAAAGTTGAACAGGAAACAAACACCGTGTGTTAATGAAACAGAAGGGCAGTATGGCTATAGGCAATGGATAGGAGGGAGAGTGGTATCAGGAAGTCTGACAAGGTTCAAAACCTATAAAGTGTCCTTGGCTATTGTGAGGAGTCTGGATTTTATTCTCCAGTTGGTGGGATTCTACTAAGGAATTTTAACAGAGGCATAGTCAGATCTTTAGCCACTAGCTTCAAATGTGCATTGTCAAAGGTTTCTTTTAAATGGAAATAATTTCTCTTTGTATTTTATAGAATAGACCAGAGGGCTGCCATTTGGCCAAAGGACGCTTTTGAAACTCAGCAAGACTTAAATGAGGTAGGTGCAGTTATTGATGGAATTTGCTCTTCTTTTGTACAGCACTAGAAATTCTTTCCGATTAAAACTTTTAAGTATTTTTTTTTCTCTGAAGTAAATTTGTCATTCTTGTCCTTTTGGGTTCAATTTGTTGATGTTTTTCCTTGTTCTGAAGCAAACACATTTAAAATACTATTTTTAAGACTGTTTACCATGTCTTGGGTAAAACTCATGTCCAGTAGTCTTCATTATATACCTTTCAACTTTGATTTAGTGCTATATAACCATAGATATACGAGTTAAGATTTGTAAAGTTTTCTCTTAATTTAATTTTATCTGTATCTCCTTCTTTCTATTTTCCCATTGTCTTTTGCAATCTAAAGCATAATTGCACTATTTACCCATTGACTATAACACAGAGTGATGTTTGCAGTATGATCTTCTTACCTACACTATGAGACATGAAGCCCTGTTTTCTAATCCAAGTGATTTCTCACAAAATTGGACATCACAACATTAATTAGCTTGTTTTAGATTTTCCTTGAAATACGTAATTGAATTATAATGTTGGAAGTCAATATAATATAATTTGGGTACTATTATGAGTGCCTTGGCTTAAAACATTGTTTTGGAATGCCCTGTCTGGTTTTCCTTGTTCTCATTACATTAGAGCAATGGGTGGTATGTGATATGTAGATTAGGATCATAGAAAATAAAATAAAAAGATTTGATACTCAGATGCCTAGAGAAGAAAACATGGACTTAAAGCAAATTTTTTGGCATTTTGAAAATTCATATTTCCTTTCTCAGCTCCCATCCCCATAAAAGTCATTACCTAAATTTAAATGATTGTTTTTAATCTCCTTTTGATAGAACTTGGAAAAATGAATAGCCAAAGATAAACCAGATGTCTGGTTTAGCCAAGTTAAATAGCTAAAATTGCAACAAAGTAAAACCCCCAAAACCTTAAAGACAGAATACAAATACTGTCAGTATTCCGTTTACTTTTGTGTATGTACATAGAGAAAGTCTTCAAATTCTGCCAATCTTATTCACTATAAGAAGTGTGAAAAAGAGTTTAGAAAACAAATTAGAGCCTAATTGCCTGTTCCAATGTGAACAAGTAATATACTAGTTGCAAAGAAGCTATGGTTGTTTTGACAAGACAAGAAAAATAAGGCGATTATAGGGGTCAACTCGCCATAGCTTTTTAGTATTTGGGAGGAACTCTGATTTTTAAGATGGAAGCCCATGGAGAATGCTCAGATTACTTGAGAGTTTTGAAATTATAGTTGTGAATTACAGTTGGGCATATTTGAAAATCTGATTTGCTGCAGCCTTTCATTATATTATATTTGCAGATAACATGCAGTGTGCTAGCTCACTGTGCTGAGATCGCATGGGCTCAGGAGCACTGAGATGAGATATGTTCTTGAAAGGACAGACACTGCCATGCTTTAAATGTACACACCTCTAGGCAAAGGGGGCGCTACAGATCCACACTGGTTTAACACTAAGCGCATGTTCAAAGTGCTGTTGCTCCACTTGGTGTAGAATGTATGTGCAGGTCCACATTATTTTCATGCAGCTTTTGTTATGGCCAAAATTTGGGATCCTGAACAAGGCCTTAGGGAAACTTGAAGGGGGGAGAATGAGTGGGGTATATACCTTGCAGGGAGAGTTCATATGATCACACTCATGTTTTAAAATGTCCTGCAGAATGGAAGTCTAAAAATGTGTCGTTCCCAGCTTTCCCCAGACTCAATGAACACCAAATTCTTTTGTGGAAGCAATACCTAATATTTACTTAGACAACAGAGTCCTATGGAACATAGATGGGAAGCACTGGTTTAATACTTTTGATGGAATTGGAAAATAAGTAAAGGTTCACAGAACATATGCATGCAGCTGGATGAATGTTTAGGAAATGTGTAACCAGCATCTAGATCAAGGAACAAACATAAACAGCATCCTAGATATCCCTCTATAATTCCTTCTAGTCACCAGTCCTTTGTGAAGATGAGTGCTGTTTAGACTGAGGGACTTGTTTTGCCTGATTCTGAGCCTTTTATTCATGGACTATATGAAATATTTTGTGTCTGACTTATTTTGTTCAGTATTATGTTTGTGAGATTCATCCATGTTTTCCAACTGATTCTGGTTTTCATTCAGCTTGTTGTGACCTGTGCATATCCTAGTTTTCTACTATTATAGTCAATTGTTAGGAATTATAATTTTTTATGATGAGTCATTTCTTTTCTTTTTCTTTTTTTTTTGGGGGGGGTGGTACTGGGGATTGAACTCAGGTCCTTGCTCTTGTGAAGCAGGCAGCGGAACCACTGAGCCAAATCCCCGGCCCAATGATGAGCCATTTCTAACCTCTTTGTACAGCTAACTTTTACAGGTGTATCATTTCCATCATTAAATGGATGTGGGTGGTAGAGTATTTTGCTATTAGTGCTATTCACCTCATCATTCCTTTCATTTCTTTACCAACTACCCTGAGGCCCATAGTTCTTTAAAATAACTACTAGTTTTATGTCTGTACTGTTTCTTCCACACCAATTTGCAAGGCCAACAGAAGTAAAAGTAAAACAAAAGTTTCTTAAGCATCATGGAAAGATTTTCCATAAGTATTTTCCAGATGTTTCCATGGACCCTAATGTTTTATATAACAATAACAACTATAAGATGTACATATATGCCTTATACTTTCCCCAAATTTCATAACTGACATTTGAATTTCTTATTCCACATGCTCTGTCATGGATAAATGGAGCTCAGCTGTAGTTTGATTCCAGGGCCATACTAGACCCAGGGACTCATATCCATTGAAGCAATTCATGGTGTAATGTGTCTGTGTGTGTTTTCAGTACTTTGTCAGGAGTCTGAGAAGCTTACTAACTTCTTGTTCCCTTTGGCGTGAGTATACATTTGACTTCTGCCAAAATCACTTTCCTTCTGCCAGTCTAGAGCTTCCCGATTTTGACCTTCGTTATTTGATGGGTCTTGAGTCTCCATTTCATTTCCTGGTGTGGGCCTATGTTGTTGAAGTTTGTTTCTGAAAAATGGATTAAATTCCCCTCCTACCATTTACCTGAAATTTCTGACACTACGCTTATGTCTGGAAGTTTTCTTTTCTGGGTGGTTTCCTGAATCCTGATTGGAAAATATTCTATACTAGAAATTTGTCAATTTCTCAACCACCTTAATCCTTGATTTTAGGTATTTCACCATGTTCATGTAAATGATATGAACTCAGTAAATCTGAAAGGTATTTGAAAAATAAAACGAGGAAAAATAATTGTTTTTATTCTCTGTACCCTGTTGATCTCATTCCTAAATATCAATTAGAAAGACTAACATATATAAAGAAATCTAATAGATCTCCCTTTCCGTTAGCATACGTGCTGCATTGGGGGACTAGACTTCAGATGTATTCCAACAGAGTATTCTAACAACTAATTTTAGTTCTTTGTTTGTAGAATTGGTAAAGGAGTTATGAGGTAGGCTATCTCTATTACTTCTTTCAGTTTTTACACACACTGATTCTATTCTTCTTTCATTTTCCCAGTGTTGTACAATTTAGTTATAGGTTCCCATTAGGAAAGGGACAATGCACATAGACTCGAGTTTCAGGCCTACTTGGGGAATTGAACAGTAAATAGAGCTATTAAAAGTGACGTATGAGCTTAGTATAGTTATCTTTCTGGATGAAGGGTACATACATCACGTTATAAGCAAGGAATTGGGAGGGATTGAGGATTGGACCTAAGCTCTGCACGAAATTCGGCCTTCTGTCTGATTCTGTCATTATATTTGCTCAAGCTAACTCTTTGTCATCATCCTATAAAGGGAAACGATCATTTCAAATTTTGTCTATGACCACTGGGCTCAGGCCTCTGTGCTCATTTTCTTATCACATAAATGCTAAAGATATTCTGCACTCATTGTGCTTTGGCTAAAACAAGTGTCAGTTGAAAATGCATTTGTTTCCATGTCAGTTTTTACCTGGAATTTCAGGATTCTAGAGTAGAGGTGGCAAACCTTTGGCACACTTGCCACAGTGGGCTATTTGTATCATTGAAAGCTCTAAAAGGTTCACCATCCTTGCCCTAGAGGTAAAGTCGTCTATGTGCTAACTGGAAACAGAAATTTGTTTTTTGTGCCCATATACAAGAATTTCTTATTTCCCAACCTTTGGAACTCGTTGGCTGTGACACTGCTTTATGCTGGTGCAGACCAACGCTATGGTTTATTATTTCCAGGTTTAAGGAGCCAATTTATAAATCTAAAGGGAAAAACCGTTCCCTGGCTTCATGCATTTGCCAAAGAAAAATATGTCAAGCACGGCAAAGAAGATGAAGACTCATAGAATGGGAAAGGGAATAAACTCTGCATCCGTCTCTTGTCTATCAGTAAACTCCACAACTGTACTGGTGGGGATTTCAATGTAGCTAAGATATAAAAGGTCTTTGGGATAAATACTTCGAGGTGTGTATCTTGGCATCTTGTGTCTCCAGAATCAAACGGAAGGCATCTGCCTGTTTCCCCACAGATGATTCCCATTAGATAAGAAGTCTGAAATGATTGATCTTAAAAACATAAAGGAATCTGGAATTTTAATATAACTAATAGGACAGAAGTTCTGTTGTGGGAAACAGTGTGACAGATGGAAAAGATGGGATTTATATTCAGAAGTTTTGTGATCTTGTATGTTCTGGCAACCTGCTGAGATGACCAGTCATGATTAAGTGCAGTGGCATCGGCAGTGAGGTCTTATGGGGCCAGATGTTAGCATGGTTCTCTCTGGATGTTGAAGTAGCTGAATATGGAAGGGGCCCCTGCTGCAGAGTAAGAAGCCGATCCAGAGTGGAGTCACTGAGTCATCCGTGTCTAGACCCTAGCATGTGAGATGATGGTATCATCTTTTGTAGGGGAAAAGAAATTAGTCAGCAGTGAAGGTAAAAGGACAGTGGTAATAATCTGCCCTTTCCATCCTTCTGCTCTTTTCCTAACTC